CGTGCCCCCCGCGGCGCCCCTTCCCCGGGGGCTCGGTTTCCAAAACGGCCGAGGGGTTGCCTGCACCTGTGCCGCCCCCATTCCACACCCCCCCTCCGTCGCCGAAAGGTGGGTGACCTCCGCCTCGGGGGCCGGGAGCTGCCAGGGGGCACCTGGGGGTGTCCCGCTGCGGGCCCCCGCGGCCTTTCCCAGGTTCCCCTTCCCTTTTCCCTGATCCCCCCCCGCAGTGGAAAATGGGTCTGTTTGGCCCTCCCTGCTGTTCATGGCAGGAGGACAACTGCCCCGGCAGCCTGAGGTGCTCGCAAGGTCTGTGAGGGGAAGGAAGCCTGGCCGAGGCTGGGTTGGGTGGGCTTGGCCATGGAGGGGCCATGGCAGGGGGAACGTGACCCACCACCCGCTGTTTGTGCCGTTCGGGTCAACGCTAAAGTCCAGAGCAGCACCAGCAAGTGGTTTTCCAAAAGTCATTAACTCTTCCTTCAGTGAGCTTAGGCTTTAAATTGAGGTCCTCAGCGTGTTTCTGGAATGTCTTCCTTCAGTTGACCCAACGCCTGTTGCTCCTTGATGTCTCTGAAGAAGGAAGCATGAAGGAAAGCTTGGGAAAGAGAACGACCAGCCTCAGAAGACTAATGGGCTCGTTCAAGTTTACAAAAACATCCTCTTAAGCGGATGATGTGGAGGCAAAGGAATATAGAGGCGATAACCCCACCGGCTGCGTCCTGTCACTTTCCTGTCACTGCAGAGAGGGATTTAAGGGCAAATAAGATAGCGGGTGAATGAACTAACAGTTGCTGAGCTACAAGTTACAGGCACTTTCTTTAAGCCTTCCTTGCAAGGAGCCTTTTCACAATAAGCCGGGTTTCAAAGTACTCGGGTGCTCCATGGGATTGATTAATATAAATAGTGCTGGCAGAATTTGACACCCCTGTTGCTGATCCACCCATTTTGGTGAAAGCAGAGTAAGTCCCCTCTGTGTTTGCTTAGAGGATATTAAGGTTTATGATTACTAATCAGCTAGTTTATTTCTTGCTCAACTGAGCTCCGTGAAGAATGCACCAGAAGGTATGTGCAAGCTGCCCACTGAGCGTGAGCCATTGGCCTTGAAGTCCCATCTGCAGCACTGTCTTCCACACTCCAGTCTGTGATTGGAAAGTATATTTTCCCTTTAAATTCCAGGTGTTCAGAACATAATTAAATGACAGCTTCCAGACTCTGCAAACTTTCCTAGAGTGTATGCTTTTTACAGGGTAATTGGCAATTTATTTACTCCAGTGTTGTTTCTGTTTTTCCTATCTAGTAATGTGTGCCCAAGTCACTGGAGAGTAACACTGCTGTTCATGCAGCCAAGTGCCTGAGCTGAGTTTAATTCCTCTGATCCTTCAGTTTAAATCAACAACTACCTGCATCTTGAGCTTGAAGGCAGAAGGTCTCACGCCTCTGTGACACCAAGCTTTTAAAAAATAAAACAACCCAGCAACCTGACTTCAGGCTGTACTTTCCTGCTAAAGCTGACATTCATTTACTTCTGCTCTCAGTTAAATCTTAGAATGCAGCTGCCTTAGCTCTACTTGCACACATATCAGTAAGGCAGTAACATTACTACAGGCAATCGGGAAGTGTCGTTAAGAGGGAAGGAAGACCCCAGGGCAGTGCAGCGGGATTTGCGGTGGTGAAAGATAGTAGGACTCATGCATGGTCTGGACCACGAAACAGCTTTTCCCATCTGTCAGTAGATATGTTACTGCGTCTTGAGTTAGTGTGGCATTTAGTTTCTGCACCACAAGCCCCTGGCATAGGTGGTGTTACCTGGTTGTCAGGTTTAAAACCAAATCAAGGAATGCAGTCTCCCTGGCC